AAACGCACAAGTCTTAGGTGTTCAGTTTGACGCATTTTGACATGAGTGTACACCCACATAACCATCACCCAGATCGAGATAGGTAATTTCCATCACCCTAAAACTCCCCTCATGCACTCTTCCAGTCAATCCTTTTACCCCACCGTTCTCATTTCTATCACGGGTGATTAGTTTTGCCTAAACTTGAACTTCATCTGTGTGGAATCATCCAGTTGTACAGAGACAATCTCACAGCCTGGCACAAGGTCTGGCACGTGGCAGGAATGCAACGTGAAAGATAGTCCTGGTTCTTAAACTACCCTAGGAGAGAGCACTGATCTCATTGGGAAACTGAGGCTTCAGGCAGTTAGTGACCTGCCCAGGGCACAAGGCCAGGGCAGCAGAGGACCCTGGGTACTAGCAGAGGACCCTGGGTGCTAGCCCAGGATCTCCATTCTGAGTGCACACCTCTCTCCTAAGGCTCCCCCTAGCTCCCCCGGCCCTGTCCTCCCCGGCCCCGGGCTCCCCCTCAGCACTCTGTGTGGGTGAGCCTGATGATGTTGGCGGGTGGTGCCCCCTGCCGCTTGCGGGGCCTGACCTGGGGCCCCACTTTCCTCTATGGGAGGTGCTAGGATCACCAAAGCTCTGGAGCCCCGTGCAGAGCCTGGCGAAGGGCAGGGGCTCTGTTCGCGGAAGGAAAGTCACCTGCCCTTTTATCTTCCTCTGAAGGAGATTTCCCCAAGTTCTGGGGGCTTTCCTTGCCCAGAATAAACGGACTAAGGGAAGAGGCCTTTTTTGGTGGAGCGCTGCTGCCCCCAGCTGAGCGGCGGGGGATACTACCACTGAGCGGGACGTGCAAACTCGGCGCGTTTTCTGCCTCTTGGGTTCTGGTCTGAGTTCGTGGACCCTTTCTTGCCCCTTGGGCTCCTGGGTCCTGGGCTCCTGGTCTCCTGGTCTCCGAGAGGCAGATGTCTGTCAGGACCGTCACCCGGCACTTCAGCCGCGTCCTGAAGTAAGGGTCTTCCTCGGAGAACCAGCCAGCCCAAGCATATGTGGCCCCCTGTACCTCGGGGGAAGGTGGGCTGGACAGAAGCTTTTGAGGGCCTGCCCCGTATTAAGCAAATATTTAAACAGGTGTGGTCAAGGTTTGATCTTAGGGCTTGGTTCAGAGCAGGGGCGGAGGCGGGGAGGCCTCTGTGCCGCGGGGCATGCGGCACCTCCCCCGAGCGCCGCTGGGTGCCTGCCAGCCCCTCTTAGCTCCCCTCTTCCTGTCGCACCTGCGGTCGGTGGCGGTGTAACGGCCCAGCCAGCCTGGCCCAGGCACGTGGCCTGGGGCGATGCTATCTCGAACTCAGTATTTTTAACTCCTCTTTGCAGAGGATGTGGCTTCTGCGGGAGAGCTTCAAAGGGTGCCCCATTTGCCCTTCGGGGCCACCATGACGTCATGGAAATGGGGAGGGGAGGCCCTGAGCCCCCAGACACCTGGCGGGAAGTGGGAGACATTTTCCACTTCCTGTCCTACTTCTGGCTACTGACTCAGTGTCTGACCTGTTTATTAATTTCAAAATACAGCTCTCCGTGTGATGCTCAAAGGAAAACTTCTGCATGCATGTGTCTGGGTGAAACGAAGTGTGGAAACCAGGTGGCCTTCCACAAAGTCCTCAGGGGTCAGTGTGCTTCTTAACAGAGTGACCGCACTGGTCCCATCTGGCTGCTCCCCAGGTCCACCCTCAGGAGCTCTCTGTCCCACACACTGGCCGAGGAAGTAGCCTGCAGAAGCGCTTTTAAGATAGGACATCTGGGTAAAGTGAGGTGGACTGGGTAATGTGACCTTTGGCCCGTGACCTTGGAATAGTTGGGCAGTGACCCGAGTTCTGCCTCCCTGGCACCTCCCAGGGGTACCATCCTCCAGACTCTATCGGATGATTGCCTGCCTGGAGGCTTCACTGGCCAATGGGCCATCACTCAGGTTTTTCTTTCCCTGATAGTTCTTGACAGGTTACTCTTAGCTTTTGGCAAAATCATGAAATAGCGGCTCACCCAGCTGACTCCTCTATTCATCTCTATTTTCCTTTCTCTTATGCTCCCCCCACGGCCCCACCAACCTGGCTTCCTTCCCAGTGCCTAATGGCAGCAACTATTTATTTGTTCATTTGCTAGTTAAGTGTCTGTTAAGCATCTGTGGCGTGCCAGCCACAGGGCTAGGTGTTGTGGACCCAGTGATGAACAAGATACATTGGCCATCCCGAGGAGTGCAGAGTTGAGTGGACTTTCTTGCCAAGATATTATGTGGTAACTATGGTGATATCTGTTAAGGCTTTCCATGTGACCCAGGGGAGTGGGATTTTAATGGTCAAACCAAGAAGATAAATAATCCTTCAAGACTCACGTGGCTGCCGGTCCAATGGTGGGTCATAGCAGAGGGGGTCACTCTGTTGGAGTTGAAGACCCCACCCCATTTCAGGGTGTTCCTGAAGCACATGCTTGATTAACCCTCTTCTCTTGAGGGGACAGTTACTCCAGTTACACTGGCGAGGGGCCAGGTCCCTGGGTGAAGTGTCGGAGAATCTTCTAGAGTCTTAGAACTGGGGTCGTGAGAAGTCATTTGGTTCATTCTTTTGCCTCCAGAGCTGGCCTGTGTTTAATTCAGCTCTTTGGGCAATTGGGTATCTGTCCAGACAAATCCATTCTACAGCTGGCCTTGGTGACACATTCCCTAGTGGAACAGAGGTCTTGTGTCCTCGAGGCTGGTCTCTGTTCATGGGGCCTGGGGTTCTCCAGGGCTGGGCCTTCGTATGGATGTGATGATGGTGTACCCGGGTTTCTTCAGCAGCCTCTTCCTTCCAGGCTGAGCAGTGCCTTGGTCCCTAACTGCTCTGAGGGGCTCTGCTGCAGTGACCCTAGGCCCTGTGCTGACCTCCTAAGGGGCACAGAAACCCTTGGTCTGGGATTGTAAGGGTATTTTAATTCCCTCTGACACCCTAGGTGGGGCCTGGGGCCAGAGGTGAGAACAGGGTGGATACAGAGGAGTGGAGTGTCCTTATCACCCCCTCAGCATACCCACTTGCTCCTGGTCTGCCCTCTGACTCGGCTCTAATTGGCTTTAGGCTTAACGGCCTTAGATTTGACGGAAGATTCTTGCTGGGGATCAAGGAGCCCTGGTTTGAGATGGAAATGTCTCAGGGGTGTGCCGACCCTGCTTTCCAGATGACCTCCGATGTGCCTGAGGCCTTGTCACCCTTGGCTAGGGCTGGGCCCGGAAGGAGGAACCCTTGCTCCCTTAGTGGGTCTGGGTGGGTCCCCAGCCACTGCCTGTCACCTCATAGGTCCTTGGGTGGCCTTAGGGGTCTATGACTTCAGGGCCCTGACAACTGAGGGCCCTGGGATGGCATGATTCCACAGACTCCCCTGGCCTACTCCCAGGTTCTTGGAGGGATCTGTCTTTAGCCCCTTCACTGCCTCCCAGGGTCCTTGCTCCTGTCACCTGCCCCCGTGTCCCCCTCAGACTCAGCGTCTTTGCTGCCAACTCTCAGGAGTGGAGCTGCCTCCCCGACCACTGGGGTCTTTTGTATACAGACCAGAGTGAATTACTACTTTGTATACAGACCAGAGTGAATTACTACTTTTTTCAACTACTTTAGTTGAAAAAAAAGATCAACTAATTTGCCTTAGGTTTTTAAGGGTTGATAAAGGCTTGCTCTATTAACCCTCCCAGGGGCATTTTCATTGAATCGGGAGAGGAGAATACTTTAATTAAAAGAAATTCCCAATGGCGGGATCTCTGGCATCGTGTCAGGGCGATGAGGCAGAACCTTACCTTTGGGAAGGTGGTACCTATCCTGCTGTGTGTGAGAGGGACCCGTGATGATGGGGTGACCTCTGTGGCTGTCCCTTTTTGTGATCTTTAGAGGGACTTGCATTTAGGCTGCAGGTGAGGGGACTCAGTGAGAACTACGGATTCTGTGACCATCCTCCTCCACAGAGGCTACAGAGTCAGCGGCCTGTGGAGCTGGAGGCAGCTTCCCAGTCCTAGAAGATATTTTATAGGCGGTGACCCTGGAAATTATGGAAGGGAAGGACATGCCCAAGTCCCCTGTTGAGCTGGGGTCTTGATCCCTGTGAAAAGCAGCACGCCTGACTTGTAGCTGGAAGGATTTGCATATTTCTGGCTGATGTGGTTGGAGACACATGTGTGAACCATAGAGGTGTTTGGGGATAGGACCCTCCCTTCCCCCTGGGAATCCATAAGCCCTGGGCTTGATGGCAGTAATTGTGAGGAGGATGGCTGCATCTCGGAAGGGCACTCAGGCCCAGAAGAATACCGGGGATCCCGGGCAGCCCTACCTTCTGTCCTCTTGCTAAGAGCTTAAGACATACACACACTCTCCTTGGGAGAGTTCCTGAGCTTGAGGAGAGAGGATTCATTTCTTATATCCAGGCTGGGGGGGAGGGGGGGAAGTAGAAAGTCTGGCTAATTTTCACTCCCTTTCCCTGCTCTTAGACCGGACACCCCAAAGTTGGGGCATTGGGGTGGGACCCAGGCAGTGGACTGGTGGGTGGTCCCCAGCCATGAATCTGTAGGGGCCATGCACGGTTTCAGTGAGAATCCAGTCTGAAAGGAAATGGTCCCGGAGGGCAGGAGACAGTGGGTGGCATTTTGGGGATGCTTGCTGTGTGGTCCCTGCCTGCCAGATTTCCACGGCCAGTCCTGATCAGTCATGGACATGGGCCTCCTACTATGGGTGGCCCAGTGGTGCAGCAGGAAGACAGAAGAGCAGGGACCTCAACTTTTAAGTGGGTCCCCCCACTTAACTGCTCCCCCCGCCCCCCAGCTCAGCCTTCTAAGTAGAATTTTTTTAGAGGTTGTTCCAGGATGAGATTGACTTCAGCAGCTTGTTGAATTAGGCACCCCGAGCAACATCAGGACAAACGCCTTGGTTTCTTTCTGCCCAGTCTGGGATCAATAGCAAGCCGACCATACGTGACCCTGACCAAACCTAGTCAAACAGGAGCACATCCAGGCTCTTCCAAATTGCCTTTAATGAAGTCATGGGTAGCAGGATATACAACGCGGCTCAGATACACAGCATAGCAGGGTCTCCGTAATAATTTCCCCCACATCTTGGGGTAAAGGGTACACATATTTATGAACATTATTTAAAAAAATGGACTCCTCACAACCTTCTCTGGGAGCTAGAGCCCAGGAGGACCTACTGGGGGTTCCTCTCCCAGAGGATAGGGGACAGGGGATGTAAGAGGCAGTCTCGGGAGGGACAGGGAGTCTCTCCGCTGCTGCCCCCTGACTTTGCTGTGAGCGTCAAGTGGTGACAAGCAGCAGTGAGGGAACCGAGGGGGCAGAGGCAGGGTTTGGCAGCTCTTCAGCACCTTGATGGTGAGTATCTGGTGGGATGCAGCTGGTGGCCATTGCCAGTGGGGCCAGAGAGGCAGAGGGAGCTTCTTATCTGTTCAGGGGAGCAGACAGTCTGCCTCTCTGCTTGAAGAGGGGCAAGAGGTACGGTGGGGAGCCAGGAGCGAGGGAGCGTCAGGTGCTCTCATGTTCTTGGTGACCTGGGTTGAGGAAGCACAGTGGTTAGGGCTGACTACTGAGGACACAGAGTCAGGGACAGTTAGGGATGTGGATGGAGATGCCTCCATTTGTAGAGTTCTAGGAGCGAACGGACACTGGACTTCCTGTTGATGGTGGTGGAACAGGAGGCACTTGTCAGTAGGATGACAGGGATACAGGGAGAGAGCTAGGGTTAGAGCATAAGAGGTATATAATGTCTTTGCGTCGTACTGGGGGCAGAGAACATGAGGAAAGCAATTGGGCGCCCCTGTAGGCTTTGCAGTGAAAGGAGTACAATAGAAGGCATGGGCGTAAACGAGTCTGGGTCCTGAGTTTCTCATATTTTTCCACTCATTAGTGGCTGGCCCTTGCTGTGACTAGGCCTCAATGTCTTTCTTTCCAAAATGAGGAGAATAACAGCTATTCTTCATAATTTATAGGGGAGACATGGCTCAGCTGAGGTGCCTCTTGTCCCTTGAGGAGTCCTACCAATGTTCCAGGCCACTGTTATTTACAATAGTAACCCCTAACCAGAGAAAGTGGAGGGGTTTGGTGGGCCCCACTATAGGACCTAAAAGCAAGTCCTGGGGGGAGGTTTGCTTTCCGACCTTGGAGACCCTCACAGCCCTCCCTCCCACCTGAGATGCCCGCTCACCTCAGCGCGACCACAGCCGCAGCGTCATGAACAGGTTAAACCCAGCCACTTTCAGGAGGACGACACGCAGCCCGATCATGAGCAGGTTTTGGAAGTTTAGGTTCATATCTGCCAAACAAGAGGTTATTGGCATGCATATCCCTTCCTAACCCTATTTGTATTATTCTTTTCAAAGGAAAACACGAGCTGCACTCAATCCTTATTTTATGTCTGTCTCCCTCAAGAGTGGGGATGGGGCAGGGCTCAGAACTCACTGTAACCCCCTGGATCTGGGCTCCCGGGTGACTAGCAGGTGCCTGAACCCCAAGAGGGATGATTCAGTGAAAACAACTCAGATGGAAATGGATGGGCCCAGGGCAGGTGGCCGGGAGTGGTGGGGATCCTGAGAGACGAGATGCCTGCCTACAGGAATCCTGCTGCTTTTCTTGAAAGAAGGCAGAACCCCAGCTACTGGGCACAGAGGGAACACGCCCTCAGGAGGAGCGGGTGAGTTCAGGGCCCTGCACAAGCCAGTTGGAAATGTCACAGCTGGGCCACCGAGAAGCTCTCTTTGGTTCTCCAGAGCCCTAGGAGTGAGTCATGGGGGTCTAGGAAACTAGAGACTCATCCTGAAAGTCCTCAGAGGGGGAAAGCATGTTAGAGATGGCGAGAGGAGCCTGGGGATTCAAGAATATTCCCGTTCTTCCTAACTTCATTCCAGATCCATATATCCCTTCCCGCCTCTCCTATCTAGTCAGGGTGATTGTGGGTACATCTTGAAGCTGGGTTAGACTCCTCTCTTACCTGTTTCAAAGCTTTTCTCTATCAAAGTGGCATCACAGGAAAAGTCTAAAAGGAGAAACAAAGACATTTTCTTAGAGTTGAGTGAGCCGACTCTCCCATGCCAGACCTTCTAGGATTTGGGCAGATGAGCCTCTGTCTACAGGTTTTCCATGTGCTCTCCTGGAGAGATCTGGAAGGGACTTGTTGCCTATGGACACCCGCTGGGAGGGCCCTGGCTTCTGGGGATTACTACATTCACTTCACAAACGCTGCTTGTGCAAAGGACCTGTCACCCAACACAAGGCCACAAGGAACCATCAGACACAGATCCTGCCCTTGGGTAGGTTCCGGTCTGGAGTCTGAAAGAGGCAGTAAGACACCACACAGTGACAAAGTGCCATGAGGGGTAGAGATGCCCTCCTGTGTCCCACGGAGTCACTTCAGATTTGTTCCTTTGTTGTTACCATCTCAGTGGATGGTTGACTGTCATTGACTCAGCGGCTTGGGCAGAAAATCCAGCCACCTTCCTTGCTCTCCTCTTTCCTTTGCAGCCCTGCCTGGTTCTCCCTTTGAATCTGAAATCGTGTTGGCCACTCAACTCCCTTACTCCCCCTGTCCAGGCCCCTATCATCTGTCTGTGGCAATGGCTTCCTTTCTGCTTCCACTCTTGGCTCCTACAATCCATTTTCCACTTGGAGTGCTCTTTTAAAAAAGCAAATTGGATGTCGTTCTCCTACTTAAAACCAATCAATAGCTCCTCATTGGACTTAGGAGGGTGGCTGCCCTCTCGACTAACAGGCCCTGAGATGAGGCCCTTCCCTACTTCGTCCATCTCCTGTCCTGTTGCTCTTCCCCTTCCTCGCTGTGCCCCTGTGTCAGGCCTCCACAGGCTCCCCCCCTCTACCCTTGGCATAGCTGCTCCCTTCTTCTCCTTTAACTCTCATCTCACCTAGCATTTCCTCAGAGAGCCCTGCCCAGACTCTGTCCCTAAGTTGGCTGCTTCCTCCACCCCCAAGTTAAAGCACATGTTACAATCCGAAGTTCTCTAGATTTCTGCTTGCTGATGGATGGCCTCCCCCCAACTGTAGTGGAGCTTGCTTGGGGCAGACCCCTCATCTGACTTACTTATTCCTTCACTCCAGCCCCTGGCACATTGTATATACACAACCAGTGTTTGTTGAGTGAATGAATGACTGGCTGAGGTTGGCTCTTTGGCAGAGAGACAGAACCAAGGGGAGGTATCTCGGAGAAAGGCATTAGACGGGGCAGTGAGGGGGCAAACGGCCTGAGCAGAGGCAGGGAGGTGGGAATTCGGGGCAGATGAGAAGCCAGTGCCCTTCCCACCACCTTCTCCCCATCCCCTCTTTGCCTAGGACATCCTGGGACATGCCAGGATGGAGCTCCCTGGTGCTCAGTCACAGGAGTGGAGGGGCTTTGCTGACAGTGGATGAGGCCGAGACCACCCATCAGAGTAGCTTTTAGGGGAAGAACCAGGTGTCTCCCGAGTAGGGAAGCCTCAGCGGGCACAGGCACTGAGGCTGCTCTCACCTGAGCTGGAGTAGAATTTCTCGTCGAAGGTCTCATTGCATTTAAAATCAGTGCTGGTGCTCCAGGCCAGGGCGCCATTGCTCTTGGAATTCATCGACCACATGTCCAGCACGGTACTGTTTAGCCTGGTCATCGTGGACTCTGGGGCTTGCTGCTCATTGGTTTCAGAATCAAAATCGGTGAACAGGCAGACAGAGATCTTACTGGATTTAGGGCTTCTCAGTTGGTACACCGCGGGGTCAGGGTCTGTGATATCTGTGGGCCAAAAGAACCCAGGTTAGGAGATACTCATTTCCCTCTTTGCCCCAACCCAGGTCTGAGTCCAGATGCCAGTGATGGGCAAGAGCAAGGCTCTGTGGGGCTGGCAAGTCACATTCTCAGGCTTTGGGTGGAAAAGAACATTCTGGAAACCAGTTCTAAGTGGACTGGAAGTCAGGGCCAGGCAAAAGCCACGGGTCCTGGCCAAGAGGCCAGGTTCTCAGTGGAGGCTCTCTGGCTGGCCCTGCCTGGCATTCAGGGAAACCAGAAATGCAGGGCTCCTTAATGATACTGTTTAATCTTTCACTTAATAGGAACATCTTCCAAAGCACAGTGGGACTAGTAAGCAGCAACGCTGCTCTGACAGGACAAAGCAAGCCTAGAATAGAGGCTCAGCAAAGCAAACCATATGTCTAGGAATCAGGGGTGGCCTCCCCCAAATTAGGCTGGGTGTGGACAGCAATTGGAGGTTTATTATCGGCTGGCATTAAGATGAAAGATCGGTCACATCACCATGAGGAGATTTCTCCTTGGTAAAAGTTTTAGACATTAAGTCAGAATACCTGCCTCCCAGTCCTTGTTCTACCATTCATTAGATCCAAGGTCTTGAGCAAGGCACATCAGCTCCCTAAATGTCAGGAATTTCATCTGTAAAATGGAGACATTGTGTCCTCCATGGAAAATCAAAGGGGGAGTTTCTCTTTATAGAATTACAGTTAACAAACTATAAAGCACTGAATCGATGAGAGTAACTGTAGCTCTTGATAATGCCAGGATATTGCCGTGATAATGTACTACTGAGTTATACACAGTCTGTTTCTACTCTTCACCCCCAGGAAATAGGGGTCGATGGAGGCTTTTCGTTAGAGCTGAGAATCGTTCTTCAGTATTTCTGTAGGATTTTGTGTTTTTAATGTAACTCTTGTTGTTTATTCTTTCAGACCTCCTGCCTTTAGAAGAGGAAACAGAGGTTTGCTGGGAGGGTTAACACGCTGGGGCCACCCAGAGAGTTTACAGCAGGGTTGGGACTAGAGTTTCCTGCCCCTGTGGTTCTCTGCTCCCACGGCTCCCCACCCTGCATGCAAGGTTTCTCAGACCAGGGGTGCACCCCACTTGTGAGTCCAGCCAGGGTGGCCTTGGCAATGCAGACTTCCAGCTGGACCTGAAACCAGGGACACCAGCCTTTGGCCTTGTCTTGGGTTGCTGAATCAAGGCATCCCAAGGGTATCAAGTCAAGGGTGTGGGGCTGTCCCTGGAGCAGCAGAACACGGGTGGGTACATGGTCCCATGTGAGGGACATCCAAAGCTCTGGCCCCAAGGGATTCTGCCTGTTCCTCTCCAATGTCCCCATATCTGGGGCTAGGGGTAGGGTCTGACATCACTGTGGATTAAGGCCCTAGGACATAAATCTTTTATAGGGAGAGAGAGAGACCGAAAGCCATATGTGCCACCAATATACCCCAATGGGTTTGTTAGTCCTTGGTGGGAGTCATGGATGGGACTGGGAATGGAGATGTGGAAGGGTATGGAGGTGCTGAGGGAATGTGGCCTTGAGGAGAAGGTAGAGGGTAAGGTGCCACCAGTACAGTTTGGGCTTAGAGGGGAAGAGGGGTTGCTGTGGGGGCCCAATGTCCAACTCTGAGTTGTGGTTAAAAACTCAATCAAGTTCTAGAGCCACTAAGTGTCAGGCTGGAGAAGGTCTAGCATGCTGTCCAATGTGATAGTCTTTAGCTACCTGTGGCTATTTAAATTAAAATGAATGAAAATAAAATCAAATTAAAATTTAATTAAAAATTAAAACTTCATTTTAAGAGTGTTGTAGCTGCCGTGTTGGACAGTGCAGGTTGATAGAACACTTCGATCATCCCAGAAAGTCCTGTTGGACAGCATTGGTCTGGAGAGAGCTATGCTACAGAATATGAGATCTTTTGAGGAAAGGTACGGAGGGCTGATTGTGCGCCTTAAAAACCATCTTTAAGTCAGTGAGGATGGGAGGGTGACTCCATGAGAGAAAGGCCAATTTTTGCTCAACTTCGCTAGTGAGAAATCAACATGAAATAGCAAATCAATGAAATCAGAAGACTTGAGATGATTTTCACTGCTCCCAGGTCTCATTTTTACCAAGACTTCATTCATTTTTGGGCTTCCTGTCTGCATTTTTGCTGTTGTTTCTCCTGTCCAGCTTCCTTACCTCTGATTTCCTCTCTTTCTTCCCTCTCTACCCCCACTGTCTCCCCATTCTCTTTTTTTGAGCTCATCCTCCAAAGTACTTGTCTAAAACCTAGAGCTAATTGCATCATTTTTGTTCAGAATAATTCAGGGACTCCCTAGTGCCCACAGAATAATGTCCAAATTTCCTGGCATGACATTCAGGGGCTGTCATGATCTGGAGAGCTTGAATTTTCTTCTCTCAAGTCCATTCTGTGCCCTAAATGAATAGAGCTTCACCTGCAGGCCCACAGGAAGAGTTTTCAGGTGAAGGCCTACTCATCTTGGGCACATAAGGGACTCAAGAGAAAAAATTCAAGTTCTCTTAGTATCTGCCATGTAGTATGTGCTCAAGAAACAATTGTTGGATCATAAATGGCCTAGTAACCAACAGATTTGCAAAATTTCCTGCTTATCAGAACTTTTTGGTAAAAAAAGCTGGGTACTGATCCTTAAACTTGCTTTGTTTTAAGTCCTTTTACTTCTGCTCCCATGTACCTCTGGCACAACCATCTCTTTTTGTCTGAGGACGAGAAATGAATCACTTTTAATTTGGAGGTCTTTAGGGGTCCCTCTGCCAGAGCCCTGGGAGGAGACACATCCTATCCTGTTCCACCTTAGCAACGCCCATCCTTCCACTGATGACATCTCAGACGTTGGCCTTAGGAAGACTGGGTCAAGTTTCCAGTGTGGAAGTTCAGCTCTGCTAGATCCTAACTTTTCATTATAATTCAAAACCTACTGCAGAGGCACATGTCCAAAAGCTCTAGTGCTTCTGATGCGTCGGGGCACAACAGTGATTCCTCCCATGAAAGCTTCCCTCCCACGAAATCAGTGCTTTGTAGTTAGGTACTAGGAACCCGTAAGTGTTCCCACTTAGCAATCCTGACTCTGGGTCCCACTGAGCCTCTGGTGAGCATCAGGAAACAATGAGCCTGGGTGGACTTACCAGGAGTTATGGAAACTCTGGTTCCTTTGCCAAATTTCAAACGTGAGGCAACACCTTCATACCACACCTAATGTCTCCATTACAGAAACCTTAGGTTTCTCCTCCTCTGAGGAATGGGGTAACCTACCTCATAGAGCCTATTGAAGAAGGAGAGGGGAGGTCCCTAGGACATGAGGCATCCATGGAAGGGGCTGGCTCCCTCTCATATTCATATCTGGTCTCCATTTCTAAATTGGATCCCCAGGTTCCTAGTGGCCAGCCTTGGACTTAATTGTCTGAATTCTCTTGAAGGGTCTAGAATTCCTTTTCTCTATTGTCTAAAAAGACATTTTATTTGCTTTTCCCTGCTTCCAGTTTATTATCAGATGTGTTTACTTAGGCCAAAATGCACATGCCTTATTCACATCCAAGATCATGCCTTTTTTGTTGTTGTTCCTTATGCTTGAAAGTCCCCTTCTCTCCAGTCTTTGCCCATACAGATCTTACCTATCCTTCAGGCCTAGTGAACCCTTTCTACTGCATAAAACCTTATCTGTCTAGGCCAACTTCCAGCTGTGAACTCATTCCTCTGAATCTCGATTGTGCCTATTGATGTCATCAATTTGTTCACACTGAAATAGTTTTCAGCTTGCTAAATTTACAGTAGTTATGTCCCTTTAGCTAGTTCTTATCCAATTTGGGAATAGGTCAGTCATCTATCTTAGACTTCTTTGCAGTCTAACATTTTTTAGAGTGATGGCCACATAGAAGGCATTAGAAAATATCCATTGAACGATTAAAGTCAAGTTTTAATGTGTTTGACGTAGAGAAACACAGATTTTCAAAATTGATAGTGATGGCTTTTCCTTTCACAGAGGCTTCTGTAAGACAATTCACTGTAGCACACACAGTTAGCCTCCCCATAGTAAGACTGATATTCCCAAGGAAAGGAATAGAGACACTCACTGGCCCATGGGATTGCAAATGGGGCCACCTGGGAAGACTCACCAGCTATTATAGACACTTGGGATCCTTTTCCAAATGTGAATTTGCCCACAATTCCTGCAGTATTCACACCGCAGGTGACACCGTTACAGAAACTCACGAAATCTACCTCTTGCTTCAGTAGAAGTACTGATCTCCCCCAGGGGACAAGAGAATCACACTTTCTAGAGTTAGACCTTCTGCTCTTTTGTGTTGAGGATTTGGTTGTTCATCTCTTTTCCTCCTGCCCTATCCTGCTGTAGTACCCTGTGATCTCAATAAACCAAGAATTCAGTAGGGCACAGCCCCTGTCCAGGGCAGCAGTATCTTGGATCTTCTCGTGGAGGGCCCAAGACTATGTACTTATCACTTGCCTCATGATTCCTAAAGTCTCAGTCTAAAGATGTTTCCTGAGCATTGAATGCTGGATGGGAGAATTTTCTGGGGATGGGTGAAAAAAACCATTAGGAATCCTACAGAAGAAAATACCTGGGCTCAACTTAGCATCCTGGACAAAGAAGAATTAATTGTCAAGGCTGACCCTTGCTCCACTTTACTTACTTGCTGGACACTCTGTCTGGTCCCTGCTCCAAAGATTAACATGGTACTCTGCTTCATCCCCATGGCAGCTAAGGTATTTATAATATCCTTCTTGATATTAATCTACTGGAACCCACCAGGCTCCGAAAGCACCATCCTAAAAGTCTCCCTGAGTCTTTGTTTCTTAGATTTTCTATTTCCCAGGGAAGCTCTTACCCCTCCCCTTTACAATAATATAAACCTTTTATAGCAAGGCCTTGATGAAGATGGGGAGAATAATAATAATAATGAAATTATCACTAGAAAAACACTATGAATAGTATAAGACTGATGAATC